AAACAGCGTGGAGTTCCCCCAAAATCCATACCAGACCCTTATCCGAGCATGCAGTCTGGCAGGTCAGGAAAGGGGGGGGGACGAGCGAGCACCCCCCTCCTGAACCATACCAGGCCACATGCCCTCAACATGGGGGGGTGCTTTGGGGCAGGGGGGGCTACCCCCAAAGCACCTTGTCCCCATGTTGATGGGGACAAGGGCCTCTTCCCCACAACCCTGGCCGGTGGTTGTGGGGGGTCTGCGGGCGGGGGGGCTTATCAGAATCCGGAAGCCCCCTTTAACAAGGGGGCCCCCAGGTCCCAGCTCCCCCCCTACGTGAATGAGTATGCGGTACATGGTCCCGCTACTCATTCACAAAAAAAGCAACAGTGTAGTGTAAAAAAAAAAAAAAACACAGTACAGGGTCTTTGACAAGTCCTTTAATAAAACAATGTCCCCCGAAGTAGATCTAACATCAATCGCAGCGGCGATCCAAAAAAAGAAAAAAAAAAGTTACGGTTCCGTCGGAGGCTTCCAGCGCTCGCTCGTCCTCTCCCTTTCCTGACCTGCCGGACTGCATGTTCGGATAAGGGTCTGGTATGTATTTTGGGGGGAACCCCAAGCTGTTTTTTTTTTTTTTTTTTTTAACGTCGGCGTGGAGTTCCCCCTTAATAGCCATACCAGACCCGAAGGGCTTGGTATGGATGGGAGGGAAGACCCCACGCTGTTTTTTTTTTTTTCAATTGCAGACCTTATTTTTACATTCAGCTGTCAAAATAAATATTATCTAGACCTTCAAAATAAGTAAAATCATTACAGAAATAATTATAAAGGACAAGAAACAAAAATAGAATCAATAGAACCTAAGGAAATCAAATTAGAGTACATAAAGATATGCCTAGTGCTGTTTGTTAAACACGATAGACGCGACCGAGTGTCGGCTGTCAGTGGATTCCACACAGATTTACTATTGAGCAGCGTCTAAAAAAGCAAGCGCCCACAGAGGACGTCTAAAATGTGTTCTGCACATGCGCATTTATATCGGCCAAAGACACTGCACGCGCGTCTAGTTCTTTACTGTGTTGATTTGCTTTAAAAAAAATTTTTAACACATTTTAAATTTTTTTTGAAATGGCAGATTGGGTTAAAGTGAAGTCCTGATTTTTGGCAAAGCAAATTTCAATGTGAACATGTCTCTACAGTGATTTTTCATGGTGTTAGAGATGCCTCTTAGCAAGTCTGCTTTTTGAGTCTGATTCCTGGTGTGTGTCTCGTTAGTAAATTCGATTGGGTGTCTACTTGTTGACGCTGCTCAATAGTAAATCTCTTAGCGGGGGTAAAAGGTAAAAGTAGACGGTCGCTCGTAAAAATTAGACGTTCGCCCACGGAAATGCGCCCAGGCACAACAGTAAATCAGGGCCTATGTATATTCTGGATGCCGGTTACTGTTGTGTGATCATTTCATTTGATTTTATGTCATTTTATGGTATTTTACTGGATTTCATTGTATAATGGAGTGTATCTGTTCTGAGGCATCTTGTCATGTCACTTTCTATTAAGTATGATCCACACTATCTATCAAGTATCACCCACTGATAATGGTGCATGTATCGAGATGGTCCCATTGCTTTTGCATGTGCACATACATACACACGTCATTTTCTGTACTAAATTGGGAATCAGATATTCACTACTGATGTTCTCCTGTATCACTTTGTATCATTGTATTTTTTTATCATTATCATTTATTACCTATGGTTCCTCTCTCCCCCCTCATTTTACTCCCACTTGTCAAGCCTTTATGTGGAACACACCACCCCTTTGCATGAGGTGCTCCAAGGGTTAACGGAGACTTGCCAACGGAGAGGATTCTTTAATCACTCTCACAGTCTTGCCATGTCGGTGTACGCTCCAACAGGGGATTTGAGGGCAGGCCGAAGCTCTTAGCGCCGCCTCACGCATGTGCAGTGATCCGTTGAATGTGCGTTCCAAAGACGGCTCCGATGGACCGGCTTTTTTTTACTGCACATGCACATGTTTTACTGCGCATGCATTACCACACACATATTGGCGTGCGTTCCACCTACAATCATTGTCAGAAGCCATATTTGGCATGTAATGCACTAGATCTCCCTCTGCTGGCCTGAAAACCTTACCCAAATCAATTACTCCAAAAAGACATTAGACATGCGTAATCACTTTTGACAGTCCGTATGGAGTAAGCACACCTTGGGTGCCTGATGGTATGCTCATATCATATTATATTATGCGATTTTTATTGTCTATATCCACTATCTACTTCCCATTAGGAGATATACCCCCAAATGGAGTTTAAAGTCAGGAGCCTTGGAACAAATTTCATTTTAAACACACATTTCAACTTAAAACAATCTGAATCATTTTGATCTGTGTATGTATTTATTCATGTAAATACTATCGTTATATTGTAAAGCACTGAGCAAACTGTTGGCGCTATATAAATCCTGTATAATAATAATATCATTTTTTAACTTTTTATATTTCTTCAATCATTCTTCTTATTATTATTTTTATCTCCTATACCTTTTTTACTGCACATATCAATATCAATTTGGCATATTACTCATATACATAATATATACATCCTGTATATCTTTGCGATTATTATGGATACAAATGTTATTAATGGTTTTATAATTAAACAATGAAATTGTATTGTTAGTAAATACTGTTGGTATATTTCGATGACACCTTTGTCCCTCCTCCTAGCCTGAGACTGCCCAACCCAGATGGGAGGGTCCAGTTTCAGTCCCAAGATATATATGGTAGAGAGCACTCATTGTTCAGTTAGCTCGGATGAAGAAGGGATGCCCTTCGAAGCGCGTCAGCCGTACTCTGAGTGTCTACCCCTACGATGTGACTTACACAGGCTTTACATTTCTAAAGTTCCTTTGAGGACTTACATGGTTGATTTATTTTGTTGCGATTGTCATTCTGAATTTAATAAAATTATGGTTTACTAAGGTAATGCGCAAGGTTTGTGTGCTTTTTTGTTTCACTTTGCAGTACTGGTCGGGCTTCCCCAGCCTTGTTTAGAGCTGCACAACCCTATATGCATTGGTGGTCGAATTTTTCAAGTTCTGGTTCCATCCATCCACCCTTATTCTGGGTCATAGAGCACAGGAGAGGTAATTTCTGGTTCTAATAACATAGCCAGCACCTGTCTACATGTGATGGATGGAGGAAGGGGGTTAGTTTCAGAAGCAGGGGGTGGTTGGAAAGTCAGACAGTGTGTATGGAAAAATAGAATCCTACCTTCATAATTTTCTGAATGCCAGAGCTATAAAATGAAAAAATATAAAATAATGTACAAAATAGGACTAAAGAGTAAATGCAGAGCACATGCTTAAAAGAATGTTTGCACAAAAAAAAAATCACTAATAACTTAACATTTTGACAAAGTAACACCATGTTTGAATGTAAATAATGGTTTGTCCTTAAAGTGGAGTTCCAGTTGAATAAAAAAAAATAAAAGTTAGCAGCTACATAAACTGTAGCTGCTGACTTTTTTAAAATACAGACACTTACCTGTCCCTCGGTCCAGCAGTGTCCTTACCATGGCTGGTTTCGCCGGCTGTCTTCTCTCCTCGGTGCCAGCATCTTCAGTGTGGGCACCCAGCTGTGACAGCTTGCTACTTCACAGCTGGGTGTCCACTGCGCATGCGTGAGTGGTGCTGCACTTTCCGAATGGTCCTGTAGTCACCTGGGACCTGTCATGGGTCCCAGAAGACTAAGGGGAGGGAGGACAAATTCTGCTTCCGATCTCCTTAGGTGATCGCAGCAGAAGTGGGAGCAGGTACCTGTCAAATTCAGGTACCCGCTCCCTAAAGGTGCCAATCATTAACATGGAGCGGGGGACAAAGGCTAAAAGCGGAACTTACCCTTTTGGGTGGAGCTCCACTTTAACATTAGCTTTCCCATGTGAATTAAAGCAGACCTTGAAAAAAAAAGAAATATGTTACTAGTGCTAATTTTTAGAAATACTGTAAATGCACTTAACAGCCCCGCAAATCCAGTGTTGCCATTTTCTCACCTGCTGCTCTCTAAGTTCTTTCCTGTGTCACCATTTCATTATTGAAGTTATCAGAAGCTGGCATTCTATTCCAGATTCCTCAGCAAGCCCCCAGATAATGTGCCACCAGGTCCAGCACATGCACAGAGAGACCTGGCACTTTGTTATTAGTTTATGGGTATGGGAGCAAGATATCATGGGCTTTCAGTAGTGTAAAAATGATTGCCTCATGGGATATGTGATGTAGGTATCTCAGGAGGCTGTTGGAGGACAGAGTACTTGTCATTTTCACCTAGGTAAGGAATAAGAAAATGGAAGGCCCACAACAGTAAAAAGAGACAAAAAGGTATATTTTATTTATAAATGATAAAAAAAAAAACACGTATACCCTTCTTTCTTGCAAAAACTCTGAAAGGTTTTATTTTTAGCTAAAAAGATCAACTTTAATGTAATTAGAAACCGTATATAGCCATTTTACTACTCAATATTTTTGCATAATTATCTAAATGCAAGCAACCACTATTCATCAAAATACAATTGAAAATGCACCGCTGGTAGGACTCATAGGTGGATAAAAGAGCTCCAGATAAATTTGAAATCATCAGTAAACGTATATTAGCGTTGTGTTTTTTTTTTTCCCCATTTATCATCAGTTACAAATTACTTTACCACAGATGAGACCAACTTCATTTAGAGCCCAACTCCAGGATATTAGTAGAAATGTCAAAACAGGTTTCCTTGTTAATGTGTTGAAATGCTGTGATTCTATGCTTTTTTTAGTTCATGTTTCATTGTTATTTTTCCAAGTTATAACCAAAATGAGATTTATATTAGACTAGCTACAGCTTTCCATATGATATTTGTTTGTTGAGCAGAATGGTGCATTTGATTCAATTAATAGCTACCTTACAATAATCTTCCTATGCAAAGGTGCTTGAAGAGAAGTTGTTCTAAGGTGCTTAAATTGTTACTAAACCCACAACGATAAAATCAGTCTGTATTTGCAGTAAAGCATGTTTGTTATACTCACTGTGAAACCTAAGGGGTTAATCCACTGCATTGTGTATAAAGGCTGTTTGATCCTGTCTTCTCTGATCTTTCCTTTCTTCCAGTATCCCCCTCTTATCTCCTGAGAAGACATATCGTATGGAGTCATTCTACACATGCTCAGTTTGGTTTCTATTGCTAGAGAGGTTTTTTTCTTGGGAGAGTACATGTGATCAGCACAGGGCCAATGAGCACTGTCCAGACAGAGGTCAGGGGTTCTGCATCCTCCTTGCTTAGAAAGCTTTAACTCCTCCTACAAGCTTTAACTAATGCTCTGATGAAAACTGATAGAAGTCCCAAGACTGCTCTAACTGTTCATGGTAAAAGGTATTTAGCAGTTTATATTTACTAAAATAATTGAATTTCCATGTAGTACGTACTGTGAGAGACCAGTTAGAGTGAATGCAGGGTCCTGGGTTTAGTAACACTTTAAGACGCCCTCTATAATTCACTGTACATAGAGTCGAGCATAGTGCCATCATAGTGTGTGCTATTACCTAGTTGCTCTAAAAGGGAAAGAAGACATAAGATCAGCATTTAGGAATAATATTAGTATATAATTTATATATAGTATAGTAAATATATACAGTAAAACAAGACCTGGGAAATCATTAGAAACAGAGTTCACGATGAAATGTCCCATCGCTGATGGTGACACTAAATGAAGCAACCTAATCAAGGTGTTAAAAATATTGGTTGACATGAAAAGGCCAGAGGAATATTGGAGAGCAGGGCTGAAGTTTGGGTTCACTTCTACCATAGGTGTGAGGTGAAGCCTCAGAATTTGCAATGTTTGAGGACTGCATACTTTTGCCAAAAAGTTTGCAAATTTACTGCCAGAAATAAGGAACATAATATAATGTATAATGCAGCGCAAATCCTTTTTCCTGGTCAGCTAAGTTACAGTATTAGAGCAAATAACCTGAAGGAATGGATAAATCATCCTGCTTTCTATATATATTGTAAGTGTGTGTCGCAGTGGTTAGGGAGAGCTGTTAGTTCTGTGTAGTGAAAGAAATGGTTGTTCTAAATTGTTGCTTATTTATTTTGTTTACCAATTAACTTGCTTGATTGCCCACACCCTTTCCCTCACAGACCTCAATGGGGTTTGCTGCAAATTCAAGCACTTCAAACTTTGAGTAAGGTTTGAAAAACTGTTTGTGAACTGAACCAGGGCAGATCGATCTTTCCCATTGTAGAGAGCAGAAACAAGGTACAGCCCTGGCCAAAAGGTTTGAGAATGATACAAATATTAATTTACCTACAAGGAAACACATGCAGTCATCATTGCTTTGCACAAAAAGGAATTCACAGGCAAGGATATTGTTGCTACTAAGATTAAACCTAAATCAACTATTTATCGGATATCAAGAACTTCAAAGAGAGAGATTCAATTGTTGTGAAGAAGGATTCAGGGCACCCAAGAAAGTCCAGCAAGTGCCAGGACCATCTCCTAAAGTTGATTCAGCTGTGGGATCAGGGCACAACCAGTGCATGGATTGCTCAGAAATGTCAGCAGGGCAGACAGATGTGAGTGCATCTGCACGCACAGTGAAGCAAAGACTTTGAGGATGGCCTGGTGTCAAGAAGAGCAGCAAAGAAGCCACTTCTCTCTATGAAAAACATCAGGGACAGACTATTATTCTGCAAAAGGTACAGGGATTGGACTACTAAGGACTAAGGTGAAGTAATTTTCTCTGATGAATCTGCTTTCTGATTGTTTGGGGCATCTGGAAAAAAACTTGTTTTTGAAGAAAAGGTGAGCACTATCATAAGTCCTGTGTCATGCCAATAGTAAAGCATTCTGAGACCATTATGTGTGGGGTTACTTCTAAGCCAAGGGAGTGGGCTCACTCACAATTTTGACGTGAATAACCAAGAACACAGCCACGAATAAAGAATGGTACATAAACATCCTCAGAGAGCAACTTCTCCTAACCATCCAAGAACAATTTGGTGATGAACAATGCCTTTTCCAGCATGATGGAGCACCTTATGGAAAACTAAGTGGCTTGGGGAACAAAACATTGAACTTTTGGATCCATGGCCAGGAAAACTCTACAGACTTTAACCCCATTGAGAACTTGTGGTCAATCTTGAAAAAAGGGTGAACAACCCCCCCCCCCCCACAACTTCTGACAAACTCCAAGCATTGATTATGCAAGAATGGGCTGCCATCAGTCTGGATGTGGACCAGAAGTTGATTGACAGCATTTCAGGGTAAATTGCAAAGATGTTGAAAAAGAAGGGCCAACTGCAACTGCAAATATTGATTCTTTGCATAAACTTAATGTAATTGTTAATAAATCCCTTAAAACATATGAAAAGTTGGTACTTATACTTCAGTATACCATAGTAAAAATCAAACAAAAAGATCTGAAAACACTGAAGCAGCAGGCTTTGTGAAAATATATATAACAGTATGTGTCTTTCTCAAAAACTTTTGCCCAGGTTGTAGAGTCTTTTTCTTGTAAAGACATAAGCATTGTCTATTAACCTGACATAGATGAACTCAACAGACATGTTTCTTCTTTCAGACTGGCTAGCTTAGATGTAACTATGGGGATGAAATTAACCAGAAAGTACCCTCCCTCAGAAAAGCATTACTTAAATAATTATGTTCCTACATCAGTTTGACTGTTTCCTACATACAGATCTTCCATAGCCACTATCCATACCATTGTGCTATTTGTAGCTTGAACAAGTCTAATAGTTCTTTGGTTTGTTTAAAACTTTGCTCTTAGACAATATCACATTTTCAGAATAACAAATACAGGGCCATTAATCTGCAACTACTAAAACACATTTTATATTTTGCTGAGGATCTCTTTATCTGCTGTCAAGATTTCTTTGTTTATCTCTCACCTATTATTTAGAATGACATTGAATATGCCCATCGGCTGCCTAGAGAAAAAAAAAAAAGGTGTCTACCCACGCAGATTGTGATATTAGCTAGGAAAAAAAAAAAAAGTATAATAAAGTTTTAGTAGGGGAACTAACCTAACAACTACATTTTATTTTGAACAGTCTCTGTTTAAAGTTAAATAAATATAAGCATGGGAGATATTAGAATTGCTTGCTTAGGGATTTTAGTTATATTCATCCTAATATTAGGATGAATAAACTATCACAAAGCAATAGCTTTAAATAGTTATAAATGGCTGGACAATTGCTTGATACTTCATGCACTTTAGCAGAATGTTTTCCCAAATGCCTTGTGTAAAATTGGCAAAAAAAAATTGGGCAAGTAATTACAATGGCCATTGTCTACTGTACTTGCATATCCTTTTCCTATTCTAGTTGTTGCTCCTGTTCATGTCCCGAAGCTTGAAAGCTGCTCTAGAACGACTACCTCTTTGAGACTTCAGTAATGTTGCTTTGTGGTTACAGTCTCAAGAGAAAGCATGGACATTGTGTGCTGCCAAAATACATTCCTCAATACATACTCCAAAATACATTCCTCAATACATTCCTCAGTACATACATATATATTTCTCCTCAATAGTAATGGACTCCCAGTACAGAGCAACTTTGCTTGTTTAGAGGTTCATCATCAGCTGTTGTAATCCAGAATGTGCCTGTTCAGTGCTCCACAGCTAAGCTCACTTTGGAGACTTCACAAAGAGGAACACACCTCCAAAATGCATTGCCGTGGTCATGGCTGGGACAAGGGGTGGGTGGAAGGGGCAGCATGGTTTATTGTAGGGATGGGGGCGCCTTCCTTCTGTTACATGGCTGACAAAGAGAGTGACTGAATGGCATAGGATCCCCTAAGATTGCACATCATGAAAGAGGAGGGGGCGCAGTTTGGCATTTTTGCCTTGGGCGCTGGATGACCTTGTCCCAACCTTGGCCATGTTTACAAGGAAGTCGAATAGTGACAAAGGACAGCCTAGGTTGAGCCCTGGAGCAGAGCAGGGACAATTTTTGCATTACCACAACCATCCAGCATTGACAATTATCCATGAGGTGGAGGAAGAGATAGACAGCTATCATGCAGCATTGTTGCTAGCCTTGGCACTGGCTCACAAATCTCACCAACTGGCTGTGTACTTTGCACCTTTCTTCTGAATACATGTGATAGCATTGGCTGACATTTTTTTTACAAACAATAATTAATGGTTGTATTTTATTGTGCAAGATTTTTTGCACTCTCTTTTCCTATTATGTTTTTAAGCTTTCAAGTATCATTTGTATTCATTCCACACTCCAAAGACATGCTGGTAGGTTAATTGGCTCTTGTCTAAATTGGCCCTAATATGTGTATGTATGAATGTAAGTTAGGGACCTTAGATTGTTCACCCCTTAAGGGTTAGGGACTGAGGTGAATGTACAATATATATGTAAAGCACTGCGTAAATTGACGGCGCTATATAAGTACCTGAAATAAAATAAATTTGTGCTGTTCTGAGGAGAGCTGCAGGATCTTTAAGTCAGTGACCTAAGGGCGATCAAATCAAACCAAGGTTTGACTATGCCCATTTTAAGCTGTACAGAATAGTAGGAATAAATTTAGTCTGCATGTGTCAAAACACAAGGATCGCAAGCCGAATCAAGCCCACCAGGCCATTTCATGTGGCCCTTGCAACCAGGGCCTTTTTTCAGCCGGAATATGGAGGAGCTTCATTCCCCACTCACCACTAAGTCTTCTTTGTTTACAAGGACAGCTTTCCCCTTGGTGGCTCTCAAAGATCCCTGACCACCTTGCGTAAATGACAGGGACAAGGGAGATGCAGGTGCAGTGTTGGATGGGGCATCACGTGGTAAGCTGCATTATGATCTGTGTACAGCTGCACAGAAGCCGACCAATGATCTCCCTATGAGTGAAAGAGGCGGAGCTGCCTACACTGCTGGGAGGTTGGGCTGGTTAGGTGACATGCGAGGAAGCTTTTGGGGGGCACCCCTACAACTGCACTATGTACATAGTGCACCACTGAACTATGTACATTGCTCACCCCTGAACCTTGCACTCTGTGCACAAGGCACACTTAAAACTGCACTTTGTACATAGCACACCCCTGAACTCTGCACATAATGCCCTCTTGGTTTTTATTGCCCCATTAAGATCCTCCCATTGTTATTGCAAATTGGCCACACCCACCTTTTGACACAGTTCAGCCGGGGGGGGGGGGGTAGGTGTGATTGAGTTCCTGCACCTATGCTCTGAGAAAAAAGCCCTGGATAAATTTAATGTAGTCTTACAGAAACTGGCCCTTTGAGGTCAACCAAAATGCTGATACAGCCCACAATGAAATTAAGTTTGACATCCCTGATTTAGTCTCTTTCCTAGTTATCATCCTCTTGATAATTACCGGGACGACATCCTCCTCAGCCAGGCTGGTTGTTAAAGGATACTTTCACCTTTTAAAAAAAAATAATAAATGCACATGTTTTTGCAGGTAAA